ATGTGGTGCTGGCCGGCTGGCAGATGGGCGAGCAGGGGGCAGTGATGGCAGCAGAATACAGGGTGAAGGGGCAGCGAGTGGGCGCACTGAGCGCAGCAACAGCCAGGTGGAATCACAGGGCCAGCACTGTTGGGGCCTAGAGCGAGGCAGCAGGAGCACAGGATCCAGCTGCCAGGGGCTCTATGGAGCCAGGTCATCTCCTTCCTCTCCCTGCTGGAGCAACGCAGCCCGGACCCCATACTCCTGCTGCCCCACTCTCAGCCCTGCCGGCGCTGGCCCCAGTGCACCAGAGTGGGCCCTGGGCTCCTGGCCAGCTGTCACTGTACCCTGCACACCCACTCACTGTCCCTTCCCCCCACCTGCCACAGCCATTTCCCCACTCTCCCTGTCGCCGTGCCCCCCCCACGTGGCATCACATGGTTCCCAGCTGCAGTGCCAGGACCACAGAAGCAGCTGGGACATGGTGCCAGAGCTGCCGGGGGGCAGGGCAGGGAAGTGACAGGAGAAGGGCAGCAGTGGCAGACGCCCCCACAAGCGGCAACGAGCGGGAGCACAGGGCCCGCACCAGTGCCCTAGGGCCAGGAATGGCAGGAGTGCAGAGCCTGGGCTTGCAGAAGAGTTGGTGGGGGCTCTGCCTGCCACAGGGGGAAGAGGGGGATGCAGGCTGTGGGCAAACCCTTCCCATCCACACAAGCCACAGCCCTCCCTAGCCACACCCTCCCCCAATATACAAGAGGAAGACTTCATTTTAAGAGAGCATTATACAATCACTTCTGTGTACACTACACAAACACGTGTAAATCAGGACAAAAATATTTTTTAAATGAAATTAATGAACGTTGTAATACATGTTTGATTTTCAGAATATAATTTGGTATTTTTCTGGTTCAAAGATGGCAAAACTCCCTGCTGAAAGGAGTACTTCTGGAGGGCACAGGGAGGGACTTCTGGTGGCAAAAGTCAGCGGTTAGGGGAGGACTTCTGGTCCCAAGATGGTGACCAGGGGCTGGGGCACCTGTCAAGGGGTGGGGCTACCCATGCAGCCCTTGATGGCTTGCCAGAACTCAGTAAGCAGCCCTCCGCCCGAAATAATTGCCTGCCCCTGCACTATGGTAATCAATGTCAGGCCTGGAGATGTTTTCTTAGCAAGTGTTGCCATAGCTGTGAGGCTCCACTATTACCCACCCCCCAAATTAACATGGAAAAACATGAAAAAGGAACTAATATTCTGCCTCTCACATGAGACCCTGACTGTAAAGGAGCACTGAAGAAAGTGGCATCAGCTCCCAGGTGAGAACATAGTGCCACAGTCATGGTGCATTCACATGCAGAAGTAAACAGCAAGCACTTCTCAGCCCATCTCAGCTCCGGTGGCAAAAGACTAGATGGAAGTGTTTCAGAAACATTGGTCTTGCTCAGGACCAGTTGTTCATTAGGAAAGGCACTGGGGCCACTGTTGTTATACAGGAAGCAGCACCAGGGCCAGAAAAGAGAGTGGAATGGACTATCAGTTCTCTGTTAGATGCAGACACTCCCACCCTCATCTAAATATTTCCCCCTGCACGCAAGTTTTTAACTTCTGTTGCCCATTTCTATCAGACTTGGGGTATTGCTAGAGCCCCAGTTCAGTAGAAAGCAGATATGTCCTCAGGACATTTGCAATCAAAAGCCACAGTTCTTCCAAGTGGCAGTAGTAACAGGAAGAGACAGCATAAGGCTTGAAGGAAGCACTTGGGCCTCCAGGCTCAATGACCAACTGCTTAGTGCTGTCCTCTAAGAACAAACCCACCTAAGAAACACTTGGCTCCTTGGCAAGCAGTGGCATACATAGAAGTACCACATGGTAATCAGCAGGGATCTGGGTTTTCTGTTTCCCATGGAAAAACAGAGAAAACCACAGATTCCCTGTTTTTATCGGAGAAAATGCAGATTTCTCTTTTTGGCAGAGAAATCCGTGGATTCTTCGCTTTTGCAAACAGCTCTTGCAGGCTGGCACAGCTCCAGCCTTCAAGAGTCGATTGCAAAAAGGGCAAGAAACCCCCAGCCCTTGGTGGACGAGGAGAGAGAGAGAGGGGGGAGGGCAGGGCCTGAGTCTCTGAGGCAGCCAAGGCTGGGCTCAGGCGCGCACACACCCTTCGCCCCTGGAGCATGGAGGTAAGTGGGGCTTGGGGCAGGGCTGGGGAAGATGGTTGGGGGCTGAGGGAGTGGGGGGTGCTGCTAGCCCTAGGTGGCACACCACAGCTGGGAGCAGGGCCAGAGGGTGAAGGCAGGGGTGTCCCTCTGTGGGAAGCTTTGCGGGCAAGCGATGCGGGGCGCAGTGTGGTGGTGCCCATCATGTGTGGACTGCACACATGCCGCCCACCTGCCTGCCCAGAGAAGGGGGAGAGGGAGGCTGGCATGCAGCCAGAGCACAGCTCCGTGGCTGGCTCTGCAGCCACGGCGAGGGATGGGGGTGGGGGCTTGGGCTTGCATGCGGCGCTGCTGCTTACCTGCAGGCCTGTGATGGCCGCTGCGTACAAAACCTCCCGCTGCCACC